CAGGGGCGCGGGGTGGCGCGGGCAGCGGGGCGGCAGCCCTGCTCGGCTGCGTGTTAGCGGGGAATGTTTTGCAGAAAGCAGGCTTTTTCCCCCTCTAAATAGACGAAAGGTGGCCCGGCTGGTGTGCAGCGCTGCTGCAGGGGCCGAGGGCGCGGAGATGGAGGGGGTGGCGGAGCCGCGCACAGGCGTGGCGGGGAACATTTCCAGCATTGTTTTTTTCAGCCATTTTTGCCTCGAAGACGTTTTCAGGTGCCTTCCGTTGGGCGGTTGGAGCAGTGGAACATCTGTAAACGCCTGGCGTGGAGAAATCAGGCAGCTGTGTGTATTTTAAGGAAGACAAGGGGGATTTGAGGGTTTTTTGTTTATTCAAGGGATTGGAAGTGATGCAGTTTAATTATTTTCTGATGTGAGGGGAAAAGGAGGTTTAAGAAACAAGCATTCCTATTAAAATTCAGCCTCTCAAAGAGGACAGTGGTGCTTGGGTTTGTTTTGGTTTTTTGGTTTTTTCTTTTCCCTAATTAAACTACACTGTGCAGCCATTTAGTGCAAGGGATTCAAGGAAACAAATGAAACCTATTTGCTTCAGTGGGGGAAGATGATGCATATGAAGTAGGAAGCCTCTTGTCTTAAGGTACAAATAAAATATAATCCAGGTTGTTCTGCAATTTCTGGTGATTCATTTTTCAGGCGATGCAAGAATAGAGCTTGGAAAACACAGTTCCTGGCTGAAGAGTTCTTTGCTTTTACCTCAGAGCTTTATAAAATAGCATAATAAACAGGAGGGGAGGGGGAAGGGGAAATGTATTCTCATTAAATGAAACAGTGGATCCATTTTGTTTGCAGTGACTGTTAATGAATGTTATGGGCAAATGCAAATCAGAAAATTGATTTCTGCAGTTTGCAGCTTAATATTTTTTTTAGAAGAGAAGAACCTATCCACCCTATTCCCCCCACCTCATTTTTCAGCTGGCTAGATTTTCAGCTGCTCCTAGAAGCTCTGGTAGTAAACTGTGATGTGCAGAAGTAAGATCAGAAGTCATTTCCAGCATGCATACTGGACTTTTTTCCACTATCATTTATAATCAAATTCCTTTCTTTTTCACAGGATAAAAGTGGCTACCAGAATGACAACTACCTTGCTTTGTAACATGATATTTCTGCTGGCATTTGGATTGGCTTCAGCTTTTAGCCACAGCCCTAGGACCCCTGACAGGGTTTCTGAAGCAGATATTCAGAGGCTCCTCCATGGGGTTATGGAGCAACTGGGAATTGCCAGACCCCGGGTAGAATATCCAGCACACCAGGCTATGAATCTAGTTGGTCCACAGAGCATTGAAGGTAGCTAATTTCTACTTTGAGTTATGACAAATGTATTAGTGTCCTTTGGTAATAATTATTGTTTTGCATATAGATGCAGAATATCCTGAGCTTAAAATCATGGACTTCCTCACCATGTTGTTGCCTGATCTTTATTTTAAAATCATCATCCATCTCTTGCCTTCCTTAATGTAATGATTTTGGCAGAAGAAGTAGTGGGTTTTTTTAATGTACAGGCTTTGTAGAAAAAGTCATGTTGTCTTAGAAGTGTCTGGTCTCTAGTACCTCAAAACAACGGGTTTACTAAATTCTTCCCCAATAGTGTGTATAAATACATCACATATATATTTCACATGAAACAAATGTGAGCTATAGAGCCCAAATCTCATGGATTTTTAGAAACATTTGCAGACCAGAAGAGATCAAATGTTTGCAGTGTCACGTGAGATAAAGGGAGAAACCTTCTACGGGGGGGTTCTTCCTACGCGCTGCAGAATGCCGTGCAGCCCCCCGCGGGCCAGGCTGCGTGCTGGAGCGCGGGGGAAGCCAGGGCTCCGGCTGCGGCGCTGGAAAGGACACAGGTGCTCCTCTCCCTGCCTCCACAACTCGCACCTCAACACTGGGTTGCTGTGATGAATGCTCTGGGCTCGGGTTCATTTTTTGGGCTGGTACTTCTGGTCTTGCTCCGTGTTAAAATTTTCCTTGGAATCAGTCTTTTATAACCACGCAAACCATCTGAAATATCTGGCTCAGATGTTAGGGTATTAGGATAATGTTGCAATGTATTGCTATTTGAATTGTAATAAACTAGCTTTTATTTTGGGATTACAGCAAAAGGTTGAAGGTACGCAATGCCAAATATTATAGTTTACATTCGGACATCAAAACAGAGCAGAAGCTCTCAACCCTTCTCTCAGAATTAAACCAGTTTGACACAATGTAGCAAGTCTTCACAGTTCGTAAGTCTGTGCCCTTTATTTTGTCCCTATTCTGATCTACAGGCTATGCTAGCCAAAGAGATACAATTGCCTTAATGGAGGCTGAGTGGATTAAAGCTGAATAGGCACTTCTACCAGATAATTGCAGACCTAAGTTTATATATTTTCTAAAGAAACTTTGATGGACATATGCTTTTCTGCAAACTTAAATGACAGAGATTAGGTTTAAGGAGTAAAATTTGGTCTGTGCCCTTTCCTCCTCCTCTATGAGTGTTTGTGTGTAGAGAAATTGGGACAGACTGGTAGAAGTGAGTAATTTTACTCTCCATCTCCCTCTTTTCCCCAGACTTTTTTTTTTTTTAAAAAAAACCTTAGAAAAGATAAGAAAATGTGGATCTCTGACAAATATTTCATCACAGCTGTTTGCCATTACTTTCTAATTACAATGCTAGCAGAACCAGATTAAGAATCTCTTATAAATAGACATGCAAATCAGACCTTCATGTCAAACGTTGCTTTTCATAGAGTGTTTTGTGGTAAGTTTTTCAGATAGTAATCGCTTGCTCTTTCTTTGGTTTCTTCTGGTGATATGGATCTAGCTATAGATAGCTAGATATCTCTTAAAGTATCTGATTACAAACTTCAACTTAAGAAAGTGTTTTGAAAGTGTTGGTTCCGGTTACAAGATTAACATGGTTTTATGTCATTCTACACAATATTTTCTCATGCTGCTTTTTTAAAAAGTACATATAATTCAGTAAATTTTCATCATGAGTTTATCTTTAAATATAGACCCATGAATTACAGGATAGCTAATCCAACAAAACTCGCATTTCATTCTGTACCAGTGATTTTAATTATTACATTGTGAAAGACTTCAGAATTTAAGATACCAATTACTAATCAGTTAACAATGCTCTGTTATGCTCTCCTTCAATATTTATTTTTGTGTATTTTGGAGAAACACCTGCACAATGGGTCTGACTTTCTCTTAGATGTCTCCTTTGGAAACCAAACTGCTAAAATGGCATGGTAAGACATTTACTCAAAACAGTCTAGCTCCATAAGAGATCCCCATATATAATGCTCCCACATATGGTATCTGCCTGAAAACCTGCAGTTTTTACCATTTTCCCCACAGTCTGCCCACTACTCGGTCATTGCCAGGGGACTGACATTCCTGACCTCCCAGCAGCTCCAGTCAGCCAATGTTTTCAGAAAAGGCACTGGATTGTGGCAAGGGCCTTGTCCTCTGGCGAGGAATGAGGACAGGAGGCATTTGAATGAGGACTCCCCTGAGGCATTGACATGTTATGGGCAGATGAACTGTAATGCTCAGTATAGTAGAAATACTGCGACCTTTCTGAACCAGGTTTTTGTTTGTTTGTTTGGGGGGGGAGCGTGGGGCTGGATCTTACACACATATTTTGTGAAATTCTGTCACATGATGTAGAAACAGAATTTCCTCAGAGGAGGAAGCTCCGATCCCTGCTCTGCTAAAGAGACCTGCAGGACTTTCTGGAAGAATGTTTCTGATGGTGGGGAGGTCTTACAGCTTGCTTGTGTCTCAGATGCTTGGCCAATGTGCAAGGAGGTGAACTGAGCAATGCAAGTAACAGTGTCATGGGTTGTAATGTTTAGGCAAAAAAACCCTGTGCCTGTAGCACAGGTGTTGACTGACAGGAGTATTGAGGAGGATGGAGAGAGGACTTGTGACTGATGTTCCCAGTGCTAGCCATAAGAACAATAAGTAATTTATGGTTGAGCTATGGAAAAAATAACTGCATGGTTTTTTTTAAAGTTCATCAGTACAAGGTTTCAGATTCTGAAGGATTCACCTATGGGCTTTCCACAACATAGTTACACTGTTTTATCACTGCCTAATAATTCTGTGTGCAAATGCTTAAAAAATTCTACGAGATAATAGAAGGGAAAAGTAAGGGGGAATGGAAGAAAGAGGTTTAACAATAATTGGACTATGTCACAGAAAAATAGGGGTTTCACCCTAAATACCATGATGGCAAAGTGGTAATTCACCAACTATGCTCCTGAGGCACTGTCTTCACTGGGAATTTTTGCCTGAAAGCAGTGGAGAGTAGAATTGGGTATGAAATTCTTATTATTGATGAGAAATCCTGAGCTGCCAGGAGTGTTGACTTCCAGCCATTTTTCAGACTGTAGGTTGTCAGTTTTCAGACTGACAGTTTAAAACCTGGTTCATCCCATGCCAGCATCCTCATCATCAACCCACTGACTGTTGTAGAGTGGGTCTGTTTCTCATTTTGACCAGATATTGCATCTCAGCATAAAAAACTTTATCAATCAGAGCTTAATAAATTTAGTATGTTCCTACAGAAAATTGTTTTACTTAACAACATGTTTTTGTCAGAAATTGCCTCAGCAGTGTAGATCCGCAGCAGTGTTGATGGCTGCGGATGCCATCAGCTTCAGCCGAGCCAGGATTCCGCTGATTTTCAAAAGGCCAAGATTTCACCCGTTATATGTGTACACTTGCAAATGAGGTGCTGTCAGGAAAAATTAATTTCTGTGGCTTTGGAATTTGGAAACACATTTAGGCTGCCATAATATAGACAAGTTTATACTAGCAGCCTGATTATAATGAAATGTTTGCAAATTTGAGTGGTTATTATAATAACCTTTTCCAGCTGAATAAGATCTTAATAATTTTATAAGTAACAAAAATACTATTGCTGTTAGTTCATTTCCTAATTATGCCCTTTTTCCATCTCAGCTATCTACATTTTTTCCGGTGTTAATCATCGTATTTTGACTTTAAAATGCTAAAAAAAAAAAAGGGCTTAGGGCTGCCTTGGCTGTAGTAAGTGAAGTCACAAACTTGCTCTCTACCAAAGACAATTAAAAGATGGATGCTTTTCAGAAAATACATTTAGCAGCATGTGTTCTCTTTCCTAAGTGACCAGATAGTTTTCTTGTTGATGGATAGGGAAAAAAGTACAGCTTGTTAATTGAAAGAAGTTACTGCCTTTTCTTATGTTGAAATCTATAAATACATGAGGGGTTTTTTACTTCTCCTTCCCTTTGCATTTGTTAATTTAGCTGTTACCTCAGGTCAAGCTGCTAAAATAGGAGCAGAGTCTAGAAAATGCCTGATAGAGTTTAATCTACCAAGAAATTACTGTGAAGTTCAAGTTGTGTGTAATCCAAGGAGAGCTCGAGGGTCCAGCGGCTTGTGAGCGTGGTGACTGTTCTCTCTCGGTGGCAGGGTGAGCCGCCTGGGGAGGATGGCTTCGCCGCCCCAGGCCCGCAGGGAGGTGTGGAGGCCGCGTGAGCTCTCCTCCTTTGCTAGGGCTCTGTTAGCTGAGTGGAAGCAGTTCACGGGATAATTATGTCACAAAAATGGGAATTTGCTGACTGATTCCCTATACTCGTGTACCGCAGATGGCAGATGGTGCACGGCATGTCAGCACGGCGGAAGCCAAACAGATCCCGCGTGATGAGTGTCAGGCAAAGATGTTTTTAGCACCCGAGCTGGTACCTTAGAAGCAGCTGGTTTTTGCTGACCACTGAACAGATTTTCTTTCTGCACACCCCCCGATTCCTAAAAGTAATAAACTCACATTAACTAATTTCTCTAATAATATTCGCTCTCCTTGTATTTTATCTTTTCAGAAAGCTGTATTGGAGTCACTTAGCAGTATCTATAAAAAGAGGGAAAAAGCACAGAAAAGCAAAATAGGAATTTTTAATGAGTAGCTGTGTTTTTGTAGTTACTACTTAGGTTTATCACTAAAATACTGTACAAGCACCACTGGGCTATATTTGTGTTTTCTATAGACAAGAAGGGGGCTGCATCTATGTTAATAGAGGACAAAAGAATAAAATAAAGAAATGCCTTCCAACATTTCAAAACCAGAGCAGTTATTTTTTCTGCCTGGCAGGGAGTTTATGAAGTAAGAGACCACATGTTTTTTTCCCTTTTCTTGCATGCTTATAAGTTTGTGCCAATATTTAAGGGTTTTTTGGGGGGGAGGGAATATGTGTATAATGCAAGTTTCAGTATTATTATACCATGCATAGGAGAACAGTAAAATCTCACTTAAA